GCGCATCTCTCACGATGCTCTTCTTGTACCTCAGAATCTAAGACAAACCCTATATCTAGAAGTTGGGAATGTTATAGTCTGAGAGTATGTCAGTCAAGGACGAAGGAAGCCATAGATAACGTAGTGATTCCTCTTGAGCGACTCAAATTTGCACGATAAGTGATCTTTTGTCTAAGTGGACGACCAATTTTAAGTGCTTCGTCTGGATTTCACCCTAACTATGGAAATCTCCAGGTAACTAAAATGAAAAGGAAGTTAGGTAGATTATTAATTGCTGAAGAAGAATTTAAAGAAGAGTCAAAGAACATTTCGAGGTTGCATTCCCCTTGTTAAATATGCGGCTTCAACCCTTCATATTATGATCGACGGTCTTTCCCCTCCCTCCTACTCCTCTCCTCTACATATTACGTCCCGCCCAATCTTCCCGAAAAAGAGTTTTTGCAGTTGGCTGAGTCTTCCTATGCTCCCAATGGACTTGGCATACCTTACACCATTGCTATAACTCTGCTATCATTTGAATACATCTGAGATCTCGTATAAAAGCTGGATATGCAAAGCAATTTTAACCTCCTGGTACTATTTAGATTCGTTTAACACATATGTACATAGGTAAACTATACTTCCCACACAAAGCTTGATGCAATAGGTAAAGGTATAGTTCATTGTACAGCTGGCTACAATTAGTTGCCTTGTAGAGTTATAGTGTTCAGCCCGGTGCGAATGGCGCAACATCCACGGCCACTACATCGCAACATAACTCGTCCATCTTGAGGTGTGTACGTCGGCTAAACCGATTCAGGGATCCCTGTTTGGTCTTAGTCGGGCAAACGGTCAATCAACCTGTAACCCCTAGGAATAGCACAAGGACCGCTGTTGGGTCGAAAAATAGCCCACCCTGAATCGGTTTGACCGACGTACACACCTGAAGATGGACGAGTTTTGTTGACGACGTAGTAGCCGTGGAGGTTGAACCATTAGGGAGGGAGAACGGGGGAGGGGAAAAATGGATTTCCCCTCCGCAGTTTACAAGCTATGAGCTGCAGAACCTTTCGGGTGATTTATTTTCGGAAGTCCCTTGGCAAGAATGTTTAGAAACCTTTACTGGACACTGTATTAACGATGTACTTATCATCATTCTCTCTCAGAAAAAAATCCTCTCATTCTTCCTTTTCTTAACATTTTACCACAGCTATCTTAATTCATTTATTGTCTTTGATTCTTTTAATTGTAGCGTGGATTCATCGTCAATGAAAGGAAATAGTTATTCGATTAATTGCTTTTGTTTGATTCAACTCCTATCTGATGGGATGTAATTCCGGTTAAAATTTATATTGAAGCTTAAATTCCAAATGGATTTGCCTATTGGAAAATTTTTAGGAATGCTATTGGGATTGATTAACGGCTTTTAATTTTTTGGAATAATTTTTTGGAAGTTTAGAAAAAGAGAATGTTAGGGCTTTGAAAAGTTATAGATTCCAAGCAAGCAATTGCATTCAGTCCCTCAAATGTGACCTCTTCAGATGAATTTACATTTAGACTCAGACGCGCTGGGACAACTGGTTGAATTACCAATTAAACTCTTCTGTCGTAAGTTATCGAACCTCACCAGTATTACCTGAGTATTTCTCTATATTTTCGATATTTTCTCAATTTTCTACGGGGATCTCGAGATCTTAGTCATGGCCGTGGCTCGTGGTACCTTATACTGAAGAGGGACCGATGGATCATAACGGTGTGACTCTCTTCGCCTGACGAGGTATCTTGAGGGAAGCACAATCGCGACCTTTCAGGTTACTGTAGCCCTGTCTTCCAAGCTGGAAACCTAAATTTTACGATAGCAAAGTGAGCAACCACGAAGGGAATCCCAAGAGTGTTCCTGTCATTGCCCCATGGGGCGTTAGCTCTGAAGCCAGTATGAAGCTCCAGACCTCGGTGGCAGAATGGAAATTAACCAGTTATTGGATCTCAGCTTACCATAATATATTGGGTTGTAACATAAGCTCGTAGAGTTTTGTGTTAGAGTCATTTTACAACGAATTGCTTTGTTTTTTCGCGAAGTGTATATATTCATTCGGAAGAGCTCTTTCTCCTCTATAAAACACTTTTATTCATTTTTTTGAATAATCTAGTTGTACGTCTTTTTTCTGGCTCAGAATTGGAATATCCAGGAGGAGAAAATCAGCATTTCGACATCTGCTTTTCATCGAGGTCAATAAGCAGCCGAAGCCGCTCGGGACATATGCAGTGTGTACGAGGAAGGTGTCTTAGGTGTGTCTCTGGGTGGCCCCAGGAGAGACATCGAGGCCGAGAGTCAAGCAAGACCTTCACTCAAAATAGGTCATGATTTGCGTTTGGTGAGCCTGGAAAGGCACGGTGCACTGGGAAATGCTCGAACGAAATGCTACCGTCAACAAGGAGGTCTACATTGCCCAGCTAAACCGTGTTAGTGTGGCTATTCGGCTGAAAAGACCCGATAGACAGGGTGAAATCATCTTGCTCCACGACAACGCCAGGCCCCATAATGCCCAAGTCGTCAAAACAGCACTCCAAAAGCTTGAATGAGAGGTTCTTCAGCATCCACCGTACTCTCCGGATCTTGCACCTGCCGACTATCACCCTTTACGCTCTATGTTAAACCCAATGAGGGGTGTTTCCTTTGATGGCGAAGAGGACCTTAAAAACTGGCTCGACAAATTCTTCGACACCACAACGGCGATTTTCGGCGAAACGGCATCAACAAATTGGTCGAGAGATTGGAGGAGGTCGCAAACAGTAACAGGAGGATACATCAGTGATTAATTTATTATTATAATTATTGTTTTTTGTTAAAATAAATCTCTGTGAAAAAACTCTACGAACTTATGTTACAACCCAATAGAAACCTCATTTGAGCTGTGGTCCTTACGGCTATGCCATTATTGGGGTCCCTAAAAGATTTGTAAGCAGAGGGTTCCGAAAGGAATCAGCAGGCAGCCTTTGATTCGTTTTTCTTGCTTCGCTCTAAATTTTTCTTTGAATTTCCAGTAAGGAGGAAGTTGTCATGGGCAGAATAAATACTGGAACCGCTGGGAACGACTCTATGCGTACTTTTACCTTGGGATACTCTTGTCCGAAAACGTGCTATTCTGGTTAAAAAACCATGTCGATCTAAGATCTCTTGACCCTTTTAACCTTGTTCCAGGTTTGCCTTCCTCCTCCAAAATGAACCTTCTCCCAGTCAAGATCCCCTCTATAGCCGATGTTGGCGTTGGTTCAAGGAGAGAAGTTTTCGTTAATTTTCCAAGAAGTGGGATTAGGCGTAGCTCAAGAAGAGCTCAACATACTGACTCATATAGTTATAAGCTTCGCCGCTCGACCAGCCAAAACTACTTTAATCAGTGGAATTCACGGAGGATAAGATTAGCGTCTGCTTTACTCGATTAATGTACACGATAATCGTGCACGTCTGCTTTCCAAGGCCTCAATTAGAGAGGGAGATGAAGAAGGTACGGTGGCAATTTACCTAGATTGACCGTCTATCATTCTCAGTCAGAAAGTTGCTTGGAGTTATGAGGAAAGAGCTTTATGAAGGGTGAGAGTAGCGGAGGTATTCTGAGTAGGGGAAGGGAAGGTGATGCCTGGGTAAGTTTCCAGCTTACGTCTTGGCGAATCAATGCCCCAGAGGGTCTTGATTCACAGCTTTCCAATGTGAATTGCTCTGCAATTTCAGTGGGTAGGCCCTGGCTGGTAATTTCGGTAAGGGGCTGAGCCGGCTTACCCTCGAGGACCTTCCTTCTTGGGTTTTGAATGAATCACATTATACCCAAGGAGGGTAAGGGCTAACCTAAGGTCTTCCGTAGTTACAAGTTGATTTATAATACGTTTGCTTTGTGCCTTCAGTAAATTACCATGCAAGTCCGGTGAGCAGGCCCTAGCGGGCAAGTTCGGAATTCCCGTTGGGTGGCCTTAGTGAAAGATGATGACTGAGCCGGCTGTGGCCTATCTACCTGATCACCTTCTTTTTTGGGTTTTGAACGGTTTACGCTGTCCCAGGAAGGGTGATGGGGAACCTAAGGTGGGTTGTTGTTATAAATAAACTTACATTACGTTTTGCTCTGTGCCTTTAGTGAATTGCTATGCAAGGACAGGCCCTAGCTGGCAAGTTCGAAACTCTTTCTGGCCTCAGTGAAAGAGACCGGACCCGGGTGTGGCCAATCCTTATCATTATATCTGAGGACCTTCCTTTTCGGGTTCTGGACGATTTCCAGGAAGGGTAAGGATAAACCTAGGGTCGGTTGTGGTTATAAGTTGACTCAAAATACGTTTTGCTCTCTCCCTTAAGTGAAATCAATTCGAGGTTTTCATAGAAAGCTACCTCACATTCATAAATCAGTTGAAAATGAAGCAGTAAAGCCTCATGTTACTACAATTGAGTTGTGGTACGCATAAACAACGTTCGCCATAATAACTTCCTTTCACAGGTAAATATGGCAAGCAGTTCTCTCCAAAGGGTCTCCATTTCCAAGTGTCCATTTACAGAGCGCATAGGTAACTGGACAGATTCGATAAGATTTTTCCCAAAAACCCCAGATGCTCTTTCTTGCTTTCACCGCTTGGTTAACAGTTTTATTCGCGTGTGGGAAATAATTTTTCCATTTTTTCTTGGACGAGGATTACTGTTTTTACCTAATCCATCTAGATTGTAGTCAACAAATTCCCTCCTTACCCATGACTCAAGGTTTTTGGCGGTTTTACCGCTTCAACAAAGCAACAGGCTGTCATATTAGGTTCATATCTTCGTGAGATTCGACAGTAGTGCTAAGAACGCATTTATGTTTTCTTCACTTGTATATTTACCCACTTGTTTATTTATTTACGAATTCGTATGATAGATTATTCTAAAATCTTCATACATCCTCATTCCCTATATATTCACTTGCTTATTTATTTACTTAGTCGCATTAGGGTAGGTGCAAGCAGTACCGTACACATCGATTAGCTGTAACTTACATACTTGCTCAATGCAAGACACGCCATGTACTCAGTTCTTCTTCAGAATCGTGATGTCATTTGAATGCGTTCAAGGGTTAGCACAATGGCATAATAGCTATTCAATAAGCCGAGAAGTAGAGTTTTTTGGACCGGAAGATGTGACTACTTGTTGGTTCCGGGCTGTTGAGGATTGTCTAGTACCTGGTCAAGTCAATGGTCCAGTTATAGGCCATGAACCAGTGGAGGTACAGCCGGTGAATGGATGGAATGGCTCTATGATTGCAGCTGAAAATCAGTATTTTTGACTTTTTTTTCGAATTTTTGTCGAACCTTTGGTTCAAACCATGAGGCCAGGTGCTGAATATGTTTTTCTATGATGAACATCACTCCCCTCCCTCTCAGTGTAATTGTAGTGCTGAGTCATTGGCCATATTTGTAGTTCTCTCTAATACGTGAGAAATGGAATTCCTCTTTTGCAGCTGCATGCATTTTCCCAGTGAGGAGGTTAGTTTCCCCCAGACAGTCCCACCTCCCGAATGATCTTTATAAACACCAGTCAGACATAGGTCTAGGCTTTTTTTGCTGGGAAACGGTTTCAATTAGTAGCTTATTACAGAATACGGAATAAAAATTGAAAAATAGGTGCTCATCGATTCTTTCGGATACGCCACGTATCCTACAGTCTCTCGTCATTGCCCTACTTTTGAAGGGTGCTCGAATTACAGCGATAGCTCGGTTGATATTGTCTCAAATCTGATGTCAAGGTCCTGGTGCTTTTGAAGGGTGCTCGAATTACAGCGATAGCTCGATTGATATGGTCTCAAAGCTGATATCAACGTCTTCGTGCTTCTGAAAATGCCTGATGCAATTGAATGTCTTGTCACTCAGAGAAAAACCATTCGATCTATGGGTATTGCTATCAATAGGATCAGGCAGAGGGAGCCATGCCCCTCTCGGGACAAAGGGAGAATCTTCGCCCAAGGCACTTCCTTCGTCGTAAGTGGATGCGCCTAAGCCAGGCATGAAAGAAAATTTTCAACAAACATAAAAGCCCATAGTCTAAAATCAATACCTAGTAGGTAATTTCTTCCGGAGGTACAAATTTCAACTACAATTGAGATTGCGACTGAAGCAGTAAGCAGTAAATATTATGGCAATGGCTTACTCGTTCGATTTCAATTCTTCAGAATATTTCAAAAATGACTGACTTCA